CGGGCATTGTGCTCTTCGGCCAGGAAGCTGACCCCCCGTGCTCTTCTGCCTGTTCCCCACCGCGACGTGGCGAAGCCCGCTTCCCGGCCATCAATTTTGACACCTTGTTCGTGTATGCCCCTTGACTCATTATTTACACCTTGTAGGGGTAAAAGCGATAGCTGTTCTTACTGATCTCCAGGGTTTTATCGGCAGGGCACTGACCAACAATGTGAGGTGCCGGTTTTTGTGTCGTCTGACAGTGATGCTTGGATGAAAGCTAGCGTGCCCCTCTCTGCCCATTCCGGGTAAGTGGTTTCATCTGTTCCATCTTATTGATTCTGCACAGTCCCTCTGAAATTAACTATTAGCACACAACTTAGTTGGGTTCACCTGTTTCAGTTGTGAATCAAAGGCGAGCTTGTATACCAATATTGTTTCACACCATATGGTTTCATTTGTTCCATCTTATTGCTTCTGCACAGTTCCTCTGAAATTAAGTATTAGCACACAACTTAGTTGGGTTCACCTGTTTCAGTTGTGAATCAAAGGCGAGCTTGTATACCAATATTGTTTCACGCCATATGCCTCTTTACACGAGATGATGTATAGCTTACAAAAATTTGATTAATTAGTTAGTACTCCCTCTGTAAAGAAATATAAGAGCATCTGGTATACTGGATTGCTTATTGAGATTTAGCTGCTCAAGCAATATGAGGGCAACAATCTGCTCTTGTAACAACATAGAATAGCTTCTTGTCTTCCTATTTCACAGTTCCATCAATATTTTGGTCTATAAAGAAGTGAAGATATCACATGTGGGGGCATCTTGGGATTTTATGAACTCAAAACAGGGAACTGGTGTATGTTACATCAAGTTCAACTTGCTCATACTACCATACCACTTTTGGGTTGTGTAGACCATTCTTAGATTCTTTTTAAAGGGCCCTGATTTGAGAAATGTTCCTTGCTACATGTCTAACAATGCGTAGATTGCTCTTCCATGCTCCACACAATAATAAGCTCAATTTTGGAGTATTTGAGAACTGGTCGAATAGCAGTAACCATCTAGTGTAAGCACAACGGTTCTCAGAAAGAAGAATCAACACGCACTTAGAACATTACTTGCGAAGAAAGTGGAGAAGGCCAAGACAGTAGTTGAAAAAGGAAATAAAAAATAGAATAGAACAAGGGCCCAACTCAAAACAGGGAACTGGTGTATGTTACATCAAGTTCAACTTGCTCATACTACCATACCACTTTTGGGTTGTGTAGACCATTCTTAGATTCTTTTTAAAGGGCCCTGATTTGTGAAATGTTCCTTGCTACATGTCTAACAATGCGTAGATTGCTCTTCCATGCTCCACACAATAATAAGCTCAATTTTGGAGTATTTGAGAACTGGTCGAATAGCAGTAACCATCTAGTGTAAGCACAACGGTTCTCAGAAAGAAGAATCAACACGCACTTAGAACATTACTTGCGAAGAAAGTGGAGAAGGCCAAGACAGTAGTTGAAAAAGGAAATAAAAAATAGAATAGAACAAGGGCCCAACCCGGTTCGAACCGGTGACCTATTGATCTGCAGTCAATTGCTCTACCACTGAGATATGGACCCATTAGTATTATTTCATTTTACCCTAGTATATATATATATATACACAAACAATAAGATTGGCTATGGGTTAGTATCCTTGTGTTTGAATATTAATTGGTTCACTATGTATTGTTAATGCAAATTGAATATTAGCTTGCATCCTTAGAGATTTAGATATGGATTAGAATGCTAGTGTTTATTTTTGCATGGTAGTACGTGTCTTATTTATATCATAAGGACCATAGTACAAGCCACGTACGTACTGACCTGCCAAAGCTGAAAATAATAGAACGCTAGCCTTTGAACAAAGAAACACTAGCCTTTGAACAAAGAAACACTAGCCATGGAGTAAAATTACAAACAAGACCGAAGAAATCTTTGACCTTGGCACCAACGCCCGACACCTGTCTCTGACACCACCACAACAGCCATCAAACAAAAAATTGACGGATCACCTCCACACCCCGAGCTCGACGTGGCTCCATCGTTGATATGTAGCTTTACAGACCTCCAAGGTGGCTCGCCAAAGGCGAAACCATTCCCGTTGAATAAATCAGATTGAGGCAACACCTGGACACGCCATCGAACTCCAGATCTGGCACCCCCACATGACTAAGACGTCGGAGGAGGAAATCATACCTGTCATCCACGTACCACAAAGCTAGCATACGACCCACTATCTTCCAGATGCCGTCGATGCAGACCACAATCTGCATCCGTCCTTGGACTACCTCCCAAGCTCCGCGCCGACACTGGAGAAAACACCGTCACAATGGCGAAGCCCGAGGACATAGGTTCACCGCGAGGATGCCACCGTCATACCATCCTTACTTGAACAAACTGGATTCCAAATCCAACCCCAACCATAGGCCCGACCGCCTTCTCGGAGTAGGATCTGAAGAAACTTTATTCACCGACGCTGAAGCCAAGACGATGAACAACCTTGAAACTAAGCTACTTTGGCCTAAAACTATCCACACACGTGGGTCCGGTTACCCCCCTCACCACTGACGACCGAGGTCATTAACGAAGGGGAGCCGCCGGAGGAACTCCCTGACAAGGGCGAGGGCAAGATCACGTCTAACTTGTAGAGGATGAAAGAACGGCATTGGAACGCTAGTTAGGAACTTACACATATGCATATCAACCGTATGTGCCATCGCAAATTAGGTGCACGTACTTTACGGCTGTGCTCATGGATTGCCAGTTCCTGGGTTATGAAAACTATTTTTAGATTGAAGGGGCTTCATTGGATAAATGGTCTTCCTACATGTCTAAAAATACGTAATATTAGTCTATCATGCTGCACATAATATACATAATTGCCTTAATTTTGAAGTATTTGAGAACTATTCAAATAGTAATAGTGGTAACCATCTAATGTATGTAACCATAACAATTCTCTCAAGGAAGAATCGACATGGCAAAAATGCATAACGGATCAGAAGGAATTAAGCATATGGCAAAGAAGGAGTAAAACACTTGAGAAGAAAGTGTGGAGGGGCAAGACAGTATATAGAAATTAAAAAAAAAAGGAAAAAACATAGAGGGCCCAACCGGGTTCAAACCGGTGACCTATTGATCTGCAGTCAATTGCTCTACCACTGAGCTATGGACCCATTGATATTGTTGCATTTGACCCTAATAAATATATAATTACACAAGCAATAAGATAGACGGTGCATGCACACATATCCTTGTGTTTAAATATTATTTGGTTCACTCTGTATTATGAATGGAAATTGAACATCAGTTTGTATATGGATATAATGGATTAGAACGCTAGTTATGAACTTACACATGCTCATATCAGTTCCATGTGCCAAGCTTTTATGTAACAAGCTATTTTTGGGTTTGCCTATTCTTAGATTCTTTTGAAGGGGCCTAATTGGAGAAATGTTCTTCGTACATGTCTAAAAGTACATATATCAGTCTATCATGCTCCACAGAGTATAATACATAATCGCCTTAATTTTGAAGTAATTGATAACTATTCAAACAGTGGTAACCATCTAAATTCTAATGTAAGCATAACAATCCTGTGAAAGAATTGACATGCACAAAAATACATAATGAATGAAAAGGAATAAAGCTAGATATATGGTAAAAAAAGAAGTAATACTTGCGAAGAAAGTGTGGAAGGACAAGACAGTAGTTGAAAAAGGAAATAAAAATATAAAGAAAAAAACAATAGGGCCCAACCGGGTTCGAACCGGTGACCTATTGATCTGCAGTCAATTGCTCTACCACTGAGCTATGGACCCTTTGTTGTTGTTTAATTCGAGCCTAAATATTTGTAAGACCGTCGATGAGCTGTGAGTATCATTGTATCAATATTGGGTGCTAATGGTCTCGTGTCATATTTGACTGTCTCTGTTGCATATTTTCACTGATATTCTGTTGCAATGTACTCCCTCCGTCCCTTAATATAAAAGATGTTTAACTTGCAAAAACATCTTATATTGTGGGACGGAGGGGGTATTTGGAAAAATGGTTTAGAATTTTTATGCTACTGCTCGTCTCATCTTGCCTTTTTACTGACATGATTTTTTTTCTGAGTCTTTTCTTCCGGATTAATAATAAAACAATGATCTGATATGACTGCATCTCCCATTTTCTATGCTTGCATGTTTATCGGTGCAGGGTACCAAAAAGGGTGTGCCATTGCCCACAAAAATGGCGAGAATACGTGAAAACAAGGATTGTTCCGAGACGCAAAACGGTGTACTATAACCGACGAAAACGGTAAAAAACACAAAAATGGGGAGTTTTCAGGACATCCTAGTAACTCTGTACCCGGATCCACTGGATATGCCTAACACTGTAGTAACCATTTACTAGGATCTGTCGGACCTTGAATGTCTTGAGATCTCAAAACGGTGTGCCTTCATAGTTATACCTCCTGAAAAGGATGAAACAATGGCATTTGTACTGGTAGGAGGATCTTAGGACCAAAGCTGATCAGACTAGAGAAGAAAAGCTTAAATTCTTGTCATTTGGACAAGACACGTTACAAAGTAGAAGCAAATGGGCATCTTGGTACCCAACGCAGTATTTTTCAACTTTCTCCATATTTGCAGCGGATGTCGCTTGTATTATTCCACGTATTAGCAAGTTCACATTTATTCACAAAAAAAGCAAGTTAACATCACAGTTATGAAATAGACTGTTTTGACCTGACTCTCACTCTTGAAGCCGGGTCAATTCCTTTGAGTGTTAAGTACAAAAATATCAATACAAAGCACATCAGCTTAGCTGTACATGGATAAGGGAGACCCCACCCTGATTGAGAGTTATAAGCCTGGTACATTGTCTTTATTCATCTGTCCAAGATGTGTCATTCTCCTTGAGGACTTTTCATCAAGCTTGGCGGCCGCAAAAGTCGAACTTGGTCTACTTGCATTGAAAAGCTCTTGTCTGTTGACATGGGTGACACTGAAGCACTCTGTATGCACTCACCTAGAAATTTATGGTATACAAGTAGTACTTGTGCTGCCATAGCTGAAACCATCTCTGCAACCATGGCTCCTACTCTTTCACTTCTGCTTGCCACCACTTCCATAGCTCTGCTCTTATTTTCAAGAGCTGTGGCACATGACGCTCTGTCGTTGGGATCCTCTCTAGCCGTCGAAGCCTTCCAAACCGACGTGCTGCAATCACCGGATGGCACCTTCTCCTGCGGCTTCTACAGCATCTACACCAACGCCTTCACATTTTCGATATGGTACTCCAAGGCGGCAGACAAAACCGTCGTGTGGAGTGCAAATCGCGACCGCCCTGTCCATGTCAAAAGGTCAGTCCTGACCTTGCAGAGAGATGGCAATATGTTCCTGATAGATTATGATGGCACAATTGTGTGGCAAGCTGGTGGCAACTTCACAAATATTCAGCATGCTCAGCTGTTGAATACTGGGAATTTTATCTTGAAGGCTACCAATGGTAAGACAATATGGCAGAGTTTTGATTCACCCACGGACACTATACTGCCGACGCAACACTTCACTGCTTCTACAAAGTTAGTGCCTACAACCCGGTCACATGATTCTGGTAACTACATATTCCGTTTCAGCGATCTTTCGGTACTGTCACTTATATATGACATTCCTGAAGTTTCGGATATATACTGGCCAGACCCTGACCAGACTCTCTATGAGGATAATAGAAACCAGTATAACAATACTAGACTGGGGATTTTGGACAGTAATGGGAGTTTTGGGTCGAGTGATTTTGCTGATGGCCAGCCACTGGTGGCCTGTGATGCAGGACCAGGGATTAAGAGAAGGCTAACTCTAGATCCTGATGGTAATCTCCGGTTATATAGCTTGAATGACTTAGATGGGTCATGGTCAGTTTCAATGGCAGCAATGTCTCAACCTTGCAACGTCCACGGCTTATGCGGTCCTAATGGAATCTGTCACTACTCACCTAAACCTACATGTTCGTGTGCACCAGGCTATGTGATGAGCAACCCGGGTAATTGGACTGAAGGCTGCAGCGCTATTGTCAACATAACATGTGATCATCAGGAACCTATGAAGTTTGTGAAACTCAAGCATACAGATTTTTGGGGCTCTGATCAGAAACATTTGCTCTCGGTTTCCTTTTATTATTGTAGGAATATCTGCATGAATGACTGCACCTGCAAAGGCTTTCAGTACCAGGAAGATACATCCTCATGCTATCCAAAAGCTAGTCTTTTCAGTGGACGGACCTACCCAACAAATGATGCGCGGACAATATATCTCAAGCTTCCTGCCAGGGTAAATGTTTCGAACACAATTTTCCCTCGCTCCGATGTGTTTGATCCTGCACCACCTCATCTTAACTGCAATCAAATGAGCATACCACCAATTCTAGAAGCGCATAACACCGATGTGGAAGAACCAAAGTGGCTCTACTTCTACGGTTTCATAGTTGCATTTTTTGTCGTTGAGGTTTCCTTCATAGCATTCACATGGTTCTTTGTTTTGAGAAGAGAGCTTAGGCCATCAGAAGTATGGGCGACCGAGGAAGGATACAAGGTGATGACCAGTCATTTCAGAAGATACAGTTACAGAGAACTTGTGAAGGCAACAATGAATTTCAAAGTTGAGCTGGGAAGGGGAAGCTCGGGCGTGGTGTACAAAGGTGTCTTAGAAGATGAAAGACCAGTTGCTCTGAAGAAGCTGAAGCATGTAAGTCGGGGCAAAGAAGAGTTCCAAGCTGAGCTGAGTGTGATTGCTAGGATTAACCACATGAATCTAGTGAGAATATGGGGGTTTTGTTCGGAAGGATCTCACCGGCTGTTGGTTTGTGAATATGTCCAGAATGGCTCACTGGCTAGCATTTTGTTCAGTGACAACATCTTGTTGGACTGGAAGCAACGGTTCAATATTGCATTAGGTGTTGCGAAAGGGTTAGCCTACCTTCATCATGAGTGCCTAGAATGGGTCATTCACTGTGATGTGAAACCCGAGAATATACTCTTGGACCAAAACTTTGAGCCTAAGATCACCGACTTTGGGCTGGCAAAGTTACTAAACCGAGGTGTGTCCAACCAGAACACATCTCATGTCCGAGGAACCACAGGCTACATTGCTCCTGAGTGGATCTCCCGCCGCCCTATCACGTCGAAAGTCGACGTGTATAGCTACGGGGTCATGCTTCTTGAGCTTTTATCTGGAAGCAGAGTATCGGAGTTGACCGTCGGTTCAGATGCAGAGGTGCACATGGTGCTCAGGAAGCTTGTGACAATGCTTGCAGATAAACTGGAAGGAAGTGATGAATCTTGGATCGATGAATTTGTGGACTGCAAATTGGGTGGGCAATTCAGCTATGTGCAGGCTAGAACATTAATAAAATTGGTCGTTTCTTGTTTGGAGGAAGATACAAGAAAGAGGTCGACCATGGAATCTGTTGTTCAGACTCTCCTAACATTACATGAAGATGATAAGTCGTAGTAGTAAATTTTTTTTGCGTAAAAGTAGTACTAGTAATTTGATTTTGTTAGTATGTTTTAAATAAAGTGATGATATTTTATTGTAAGGTCAAGGATGTATGTGTGCAACAATGTGGAACAACTATGATATTTTTTCTAATCGTAGTCATTGATTAAAAAGATGTAATAGATCGATGCTAATACATAAGTGTGGGACAGATTTAGTAAGCAATAAAGTGAAAGACGGGGTAGTTGCACATGTGAGGCCATGTGTATGATTGCCATCAGTGTGTTGTATCTTGATTTCCAGCCTTAAGAGTAAAAGGTGGTTAGGCCATGAGTTACATTTTGAAGATGTCAAGATCGCGTCCAGCTTTGTTCGCCTTTAATAGCATTACTTATGTGTATCCTAATTAGATTATTTTAAATTGATTTTTTATGGAGGGTTTGCAAAAAAGATTACATCAGAGATAATGTAGACTTTACGGTTCAATTGAAGAATTTTATTTTGTTTCTCTAAAGTTTATGCAAAGCATATATATTTGGTCCTTCAAAAAAATGTTGTGCTACATTTCCCTCATGTTTTCAAACAGGACATGGGCCGTCCAAAACAAGACATAGGGCTGATGTATCCCCAGTTTTGAATCTCACTTTGCCTTGCCAAATGGCGGTCAAAGTCAGCTCCAATGCCACGTCATATCTTCTTCTTCTCTCTCCGTGGCAGGCATTTTGTCGAGCACCTTGTGAGCCGCGACGACCCTGCACATTTCCCTTGCCGCCGGCGGGGAGAGCAAGGGTACTCGATGAGATCAGCCAGATACAGCGACGGGTTTTTCTTAAACACAGTACAGATGCAATCGCTCATATACACACGCATACACTCACCTCTATAAACGCACACACGCACACCTTATCCCTATGAGCACCTTCGAAAAACTGAGCTGGCATATCATCTTGAAATTTACGAAGTCATCGTAGGCACCTCGTCGTCGACGGGAACGTTTCCTCTTACTGAATGCGCATTGCCGAAAATTCTGAAATAAATGCGAGCACCAGAATTTGAACCCTGGTGGGCTGGAGATACTACAGTCCCATTAACCATCCAACCACATGTTGGTTGGCAACACAACGACGGGTTGATGCAGTCTGGCCTGGGTGGAAGGCGTGGCAGCAAGCCGGGAGGACCCGTGCTCGTGCTTGTTCATGAACCCGGAGCTCCTGCACATCCGAAGCGAACGAGCGCATGTAGGATCGGAAGTATGTCTAGAGGGAGGGGGGGTGATTAGACTACTTGACCAAATAAAAATCTAGCATTTTCCCAATTTTAAATCTTGGCAGATTTTAGCAACTTAGCACTAGTCAAGCAATCAACCTACACATGCAAATCTAAGAGTATAGCAGCGGAATGTAAAATATTGCACATGAAGGTAAATGGAGGAGTTTGGAGGGAGCAAACACAATGTAGACACAGAGATTTTTGGCGTGGTTCCGATAGGTGGTGCTATCGTACATTGGTGAAGACTTCAACCCATGAAGGGTAACGGTTGCACGAGTCCACGGAGGGCTCCACCCACGAAGGGTCCACGAAGAAGCAACCTTGTCTATCCCACCATGACCATCGCCCATGAAGGACTTGCCACACTAGGGTAGATCTTCACGAAGTAGGCGATCTCCTTGCCCGTACAAACTTCTTGGTTTAACTCCACAATCTTGACGGAGGCTCCCAAGTGACACCTAACCAATCTAGGAGACACCACTCTCCAAAAGGTAATAAATGGTGTGTTGATGATGAACTCCTTGCTCTTGTGTTTCAAATGATAGTCTCCCCAACACTCAACTCTCTCTCACTGATTTGTATTTGGTGGAAAGAATATTTGAGTGGAAATCAACTTGGAGAAGACTAGAGATCAAGATTCATATGGTTGGAATGGAATATCTTTGTCTCAACACATGAGTAGGTGGTTCTCTTTCAAAAAATGAATGTTGAAAGTGTAGGCATGTTCTGATGGCTCTCTCCAAGAATGAAGAGTGGGTGGAGGGGTATATATAGCCTCCACATAAAATCTAACCGTTACACACAAATCACCAAACTCGGTGGGACCGAATAATGAAACTCGGTCAGATCGATTTAGTTCAAAATGTGAACGTTAGGGTTTTCGGTGGGACCGACATGTCAACTCGGTGGGACCAATTTCATTAGAGTTAGGGCATAACGTAATCTCGGTGAGACCGATTACACAAACTCGGTGGGACCGATTTTGGTAATAGGCTAACCAAAGAGTTGGTCAGGCAAACTCGATGGGACCGATTTGCTCATCTCGGTGAGACCGAAACGTTACGAAGGGGAAACAGAGAGTTTGCATTGCGAACTCGGTGGGACCGATCGCTCATCTCGGTTGGACCTAAACGTTATGAAGGGAAACATAGAGTTTGCAATCCCATCTCGGACCGAGATCCCTGTCGGTGAGACCGAAATGACTAGGGTTTGTGGCAGTGGCTATGTCAAGAGAACTCGGTGGCGCCGGATGGAATATTTCGGCGGGGCCGAGTTTGACTTTTGGTTTGGGACACATGTGGATATGAGAAAGTGGTTGAGAGTTTTTGAGCGTATCACTAAATATTTTGAGCAAGCAATCCATTAAGCAACACCTCATACCCTTTTAATAGTATTGGCTTTTTCTATGAACTCAATGTGATCTTGGATCACTAAAAGTAAAATGTAGAGTCTTGAGCTTTAGAGCTTGAGTCAATTTTTTGTCCTTAGCATTTTGAGGGGTCCACATTCTTAATCCATGGCATGCCAATCATTGAGTTTTTCTGAAATATTTATCTTGAAATAGCATTAGCTCAATGAATTATATGTTGTTAATAATTATCAAAACCACTCAGGAATAGTTGCACTTTCAGCGTACCGGTACCAGCTCTTTCAGGGTGACTTCACACCCAAGTCCTGTAAAACTACCATGATCAATTGATTATGAACGCATTTGCTATCTTCTCCCTACTTAATATATAAATGCCAACGATACGCTGGTTCTTTCAAAAAGGTACCATATGAATGCCAGCGATACGTTGGTTCTTTCAAAAAGGTACCAGTCCTCACTATCAGTGAAACTTAAGCGGCAGGACACGAGCTTGCTTGGAGATCCGTTCATGAAAGAGAGACTAAAAATGTGCAGTGTGCTTATGCATGATGGAAGCACATCGACATGGCTCGGCCCCGTTCGCTCCTTCTACAGCCAGATCACAGGCACTGCTGGCCAAGACACCATTCAAGTTGAGTAAATAGCAAAAAATAAAATAAAATACCACATTTGGGGCTAGCGTTAGTACAAAATTACCACTTACTTTAGTTTCTCAAAAAGACACTGCTATTTTGGTTGACTGTTTGAAAAAAACACTAGTGACTGAAGCGTTAACATTTAACCGCGATTATGACAAGGTTGGCCCCCACTTGACATGGCATAAAAGTCAACACCGTCAGCTTTGACTGTTATGACATGGGAAGCACACATGTAGGCCCCTTTCAAAAACAAGCAACCGGGTCCATGTAACTTTTTAAACAAAGCAATCAGGTCCATCTAACTTTTTCGAAAAAAACAATAGAGTCCCTGTAACTTTTTTAAAGAAGTAATTGGGTCCTTGTGCTGGCACTGGTCGTGGCTGCACCGGCCGACCGTGTTGGTGACAGGTCGTGGCTGTTGTGGCCTTGGCTATGTCGTTGTGGTGCTGTTGCCCTCTATCGCGGTTGTTGTTGCTTGCTGCTAAGCACAAGCTCCAACTAAAAGGAAGGCTGACGAGGGCGGCGTCAGCAAGGCCCAAAGCTTGCAGCGCCTCCTCTTCATGTGCGGCCACGCGGGCTTCTTCTCCGGCGCCCTCCAGCATGGAAGGCCACCAGAGCAGTAGGAAGGTCACCGGTGCATGAGAGGGTGGCTGGGCGCTAGCTGGGAGCAAGAGGGAGCGGTTGGGCGCCGTCTGGAAGCAGCATGAGGCGGTGGCGGGGGTGTGGGCGGGCTTCTTGCCGATAGCAGTACTCAGGCGACCAACTGTCCGGCCACTATAGCGAGCGTGGTGGACTACTGTAGAGAAAAGGATCCTCGATGGGATACAGAGAAAAGGGAGAGATAGGAGAAGAAGGTGACATGTGGGCCCTACCTGGTCATAACGGCCAGCTTAACTGTTTGCATAATAGTGTTGACTTTTTTTGCCACGTGAAACTGACGAGCGGGCCCTCCATGTCATAAACTGGACTAAGACATAACCATTTCACTCATTAGTGTTTTTTTGGAAAAACCAACCAAAATAGTGATAGTAGGAGCTTTTCGAGAAATTAAAGAAAGTGGTAGTTTTCGTAACACTAGCTCCAAATGTGGTAGGTTTCTGCTATTTACTCCATTCAAGTTCGAACAAGGGAACTCAAGTTAGAGCAGGGGAAATGATATTCTACGCATAGTAAGTAGTTATCTCTTTCCTTCAAATTATTTGAAGTTCTAATTTTTTTAAACAAAAATGCTAAATGGAGGACAAGCTCCATGGAGCTCTTTTTTGATTTTTTTCTTTCCAAAATCAGCATTTTGAAGTTCTAAAAAATCACACACGTTTATATGGATGTATACTACATGTGTGTAAAATTTGAAGGTGATGTACATTATGGTGAGCGCCACACAAAAATGAGAGAAAATGTTATTTTTGAAAATGATGGACATTAATGCATTTCATTGTCAGACTTTACACAAATGTAGAATACATCCACATCAATGCGTACGATTTTTTCAGAATTTTTCGAAACATCAAAATGTGTCTTTTGATATATTTTTTAAACTCCATGGAGCTCGTCCTCCAAAATGTCCTACTTTGTCTAAGATCAAACTTCTTTAAGTTTGCCCGGATCTATAGAAAAATATCAGTATCTACAACATCAAATTAGTTTAATTAGACTGGTCATAAAATGTATATTTATACTACATACATATTTGATGTTAGCAACATACTTTTCTATATATTTAGTCAAACAAAGAAAAAAAATTAATCAGTACAAAGCTTGAACTTCAAATAATTTAAACGGAGATAGTAGTACACTATAATAAGAAAACTTATCCAGTCAAAGTAACTTGTCTAGAGAGGAAATCATAGGGGGTGGCTAGAGATCACGGTCAGGATATTTTTTTCTTGTGTGCTAAATAAGTCTAAGGTGAGCATTGATTGATATTGGCAAAGTTGGGGGTACTGGTTTCAAGGACTATCGGGTAGGGATTGATTCAGCTCAGTCTACCACTACAAAGTTAAGATTTAAGATATCAAATTGTAGATCATACTAGTTCTTGGACATATGTTTCTCTGCAAGCCATGCATGTCATGTGGAATAAACACATGTTTTTTATACTATGAACTAACATGCATATTCGAAAAAGCAATGCACAAACATGCTTTGTTTTAAAGGTTAAGTCAGAACGACAAACTTTATGTTTAAATCTGAACTCATTTGTAATACTTTGGTGTGAAGATGTTGGAACCATGTGCCACCGGGAAGGAACACATACTGATCTAATGATTTACTTGATAACCTTTACCTAGTTGGTGATTATTATAAACAATATCACCTCAATGCAAGCCGCTAATTATTGATCCCACCGAAACATGTTAGACATTTGATAGAAAAAATCACTAACGGAATGGTCAACAATTCGATAGAAGTCCTTATAAACACAATATGCACTCTAGAGTTTACTATATTTGCTTAGACCTAATCATGTGCTGCTATCAAGATATTTGTTAGATTGTATGCTTTTTAGGTCTCTACCAATATTTTTATAAATATTACCCCCCCCCTACACACACACTATAGTTCATGAAAAGTAGCATACATTATTCATTGAAGCATGCGTTTTGTCCTACTTCATTTTTCACATTAAAACATGATTTGTTATAAAGATGCAAACCTTCTAAAAAATAAAGTGCTAACCTAAGTTTTGTTAAAACATATGGCAACATCACATAATATTACAATTTAATGGCATACATTGGAACCATATAAGTAAAAACACTATAGTCCACATTAATAATATTTTTATGTGATTAATTATACTCCTAAGTAATCAAAGTTGATATGCGTTTTGATATAAGTAAATAATGACAAAGTATAAAAGTTTGATATAAATAGTATTTATTTTAACTAGACTCGACCTAAAATTTCTTTATAAATAATAAAAAAAGGTTTTTAGTCCGTTAATTTTAAAATATACAATCTTGAATCTTTATATGCAATTTAATATTGACAACAAAAAGAAGTATTATGTAGAGCGTTGATGCACCCATGACTTGTTATATACATGTAGCACAATTGACACTTTATTAAGGATAAATGAGCATTAAGCCTCAATCATTTTGTTATATTTTTCATTTTTTTATATTTTATTTTGATGATTTTCATAAGCTGAATCATCTTTATGAACCAGAGGCAATCTTTCGACATTGAAAGTTATAAAGTTTTTAATGATTGAAATTATTATGATATCTCCTTGGACCAAAACACATTTTACATAAATATTGTCTCGAGCAATTTTTGGATAAAGATCAATAAGGCATGTGATAAAATATAACAACAGTCATGCGATGTTTTTATTATCTTCTCTATGCAATGTCGTTTCTTTTCTCTTTCTCCTCACAATTGAAACTAAAATACCCTATTTTTCTCAATCATATGCAAATTCGAGGTAAAAATTATTAGTTTTGTCATTGAAGTGTTAATGATTTACTAGACTATTTTTTGTGCAGTCTGAATTTTGAACCCAAAAATGAACTTAGAACTAAAATACCAAGTTTGTCTAGAATCGTATGTTAAATTTAGTTGAAATATGGCCACATTGGCGAGTGAAGTTATTCCGGTTTTACTGGAATTGTTTCATAGATCCGAGTTACAACCCAAAAATTAAAACTAAAACTAAAAAATATATGTTTCTCAGAAACAACATGCCAAATTTAGCTAAAGTTCTAGCAATTTCATCATTGAATTATTTTTTGATTTATTTGAATAATTTCAGTTTTCTATAGAACCCAATTTTTGCAAGTTTTATAGCTAGGAGTGGAGAGATGAAAAGATGTGCCAGATAATATAAGGTTTTCAAGATGGTCACGTTATCTAAATAAATATAAATGTAATGTTTAAACAAGTTTTAAAAAATGTAAAGTTTAAACACACCATAGACACCGTGTCCAGCTGATTGAAAATTTAGAAAAACCAAAACCAAAACAAAATTCTAAATTTTAACCTCTGGGCCTGCAAGTCAACGACAAGGGAGGAATTATTCCACCCAACCGAACATGCGGCAACCCAACAAACCCCAACGAACCCAACGACATCCCTTTCCATCTCATCAAAAAACGAAAATAAATAAATAAATAACGACATCCCTTACCTCGCCCCCACTCCTCAGCGCCGGGATACCGAGAATGCCCCTGGACCCCGACCACTCGCCGTCGCCGCCGCCGCAGCCGCCGCACCGCGACTGGTTCTTCCCGCCGGCGCCGCCCTTCCTCCCCTCCTCCTCCAGGTACCTCGCCCCCAGGGCCCCCTTCCCCTCCACCTCCCGCTCCTACAAGCCCTACTCGCCCGCCGACCGCCGCCCGCTCCCGCCCCCCCGCTCCCGCTCCCGCTCCCCGCACCCCTCGCCGGAGCAGCAGTCGCCGCAGCCCCCCTCCGCGCCGCGCCTCCGGGGCTGGGACCCCCGCTACGCGGGCGTCCGCCGCGGCGATGCGCCCGCAGCTGCTGCCGCGCCGCCGGCTGCCCCGCCGGCGGTGCCCGAGAGGAAGTCGCCCCCGGCGTCGGCGCTCACCCTTCGGTGGTCCGGGATGCTCTCCGCGGCGGTGAGTCACGGTGAACTCCGGGGGTTTGACTTTTGTTGACTGCCTACAGTGGTCTGATCATTCTGCTCTGCTTCCATTCCAGGCCATTCTCCTCTGCTTCGCCTCCCTCCTCCACAGGAACTTCTCGCTGCACGACCAGGTCCACCATTTGCGGGTAAAATCCTAACCCATTTCACCCTCCGCACATTATGCAAGAGGGCGGCAGCCTTACCGCCGCTCGTTTCGATTCTACCAGGGACAGCTTGGTGCGGCCACCGCGAAGTTGCAGTCATGTATCGTCGTCATGGACTCGTCGCTGGACATGAGCAGCGTGTTTTCGTACGAGAGCAACGACGAGTTTGTGCCCAGCAGAAGCCTGAAGAATTTCTCCCTGCTGCTCTCGCTGTCCGCGCTGTATGCGCCGATAGTTATTCTCAAGTACATCGACATTCTGTCCAAGCTGAGGAGATCACGACACTCTGAAGATGTCGCCTTCAACAAGCGGTTGGCGTACAGAGTAGATATATTTTTGTCACTTCATCCATACGCTAAACCCTTGGTTCTTCTTGTCGGTACAATGTTGCTTATCGGTCTTGGTGGACTCGCTCTTTATGGGGTTACTGATGATAGCTTATCGGATTGCCTCTGGTTATCGTGGACCTTTGTGGCTGATGCGGGAAACCATGCAAATGCCGTTGGCGTTGGACCTAAGTTGGTTTCAGTTTCAATCAGTATTGGTGGGATGTTGGTTTTTGCCATGATGCTTGGTCTTGTGACTGATTCGATCTCAGAGAAGTTTGATTCTTTGAGGAAAGGAAGGAGCGAGGTCATAGAGCAGAGTCACACCCTGATCCTTGGGTGGAGTGACAAGTTGGTAATCTTGGAATCAAACCTTTGCTGATTTCTTTCCTGCAGCATTTTCTGTTATTTTTCTTATTATTCAAATACGAGTGTCATATCAATAGCGAATAGCTGAACATGATTGTTAGAGCGCTTCTTATTGCATAAGTACACTCTTTTAACTACTTCCTGGAGCTTCAAGTGTAGAGGCATGTTACAGAAAGATGATCAGATCTCCAGTTTACAGTGTGAATGTTACATGAAGTGTGGTCTTTTTTATTTTTATTTTCTTGCATCTGATTTGTTGTCATTTTGGTGAGGGGTGAAACGCTTAAAATAGCCAGTTACGGAGACAGATGGGACCTTTAAAATCAAGAGTGTAATGCAGATGTAATATTTCCTCTCACATTGTGTTTTCTGTTGTCAGTTCCTATTAGCAGTATGGTAGGTACTAGATACTGATACTTAGTTGTATTATGCATATGGATTTATAGCTGTTTCTTGCGTTTCTCCAGACTAACCTATTTCCCGTTACGTCAATAGGGATCTTTACTGAACCAAATTTGTATTGCTAACGAAAGTTTGGGAGGAGGGACTATCGTAGTGATGGCCGAGAGAGACAAAGAGGAAATGGAAGCAGATATTGCTAAAATGGAGTTTGACTTGAAAGGAACGGCTGTAATATGCAGAAGTGGAAGCCCTTTGATTCTGGCTGACTTGAAAAAGGTAAGAAATATGGTTACTGATTCAGAGACATACTTTGATTTTCCTCTGTTTGCTACATCTGTTAATGTTAATGCCACTGTGGTATCTTTAGATAGGTCGATTACTGTGATGTTATTAATTTATTCTGTCTCTGTTCTCCTATTTTTGGACTAAATCTACCATAATGCTCAAGGTCTCAGTTTCTAAGGCGCGTGCAATTGTGGTTTTAGCTGAAGAAGGAAATGCTGACCAGGTTTGTTCTGCTGATCAAATTGCACCGTTTAATATGAAATCCGTGCTTACATTAGTTGTCCCTTCTCCAGAGTGATGCCCGAGCACTGCGAATAGTCTTGAGTTTAACTGGAGTTAAAGAAGGACTAAGAGGTCACATTGTCGTTGAGCTTAGTGATCTTGACAATGAAGTGCTAGTCAAACTTGTTGGTGGAGACCTTGTGGAAACTGTTGTTGCACATGATGTAATAGGTCGGTTGATGATACAATGCGCGCGTCAGCCGGGCCTTGCTCAGGTTTTTCCTATCCAGCAGTTCTGAATATATCTCGCTCCTTAAAAAGGAACTCCTCTTGAGCATTCTGATTGATTCATTCTATTTATTATTGCATTGTGGAATTGCATGTAGGAGACCTTTCTAGTACAAAGTCTGTTTTCTTCAGAAACTTTATTGCACTAAGCTTATGATCTTCGCTTGATTTTGGATGTACATAAGCTAGTTGTTCTGTTTAATTCCACTATGCTGTTCCTCCGCACTGCCAATTACTGGCTCACTTCCACACTGCATTTTTTAGCTTGCGGCTGCAGATTTTATGAAACTAAAGTAGGAGCTTGTCCTACATTTGCAACCTGCACACACTGACAGGTTTACCTACATCATGCTGGTTATAATTCCCTTTCTGGTTGAGTATTTTATAGACTTCAGTAACTATATGTAGTCTTTCTAATTTCTGAATGTACCTTCAAAGACTAATTGAGTATACATCCACAGATATGGGAAGATATCCTTGGCTTCGAGAACTGTGAGTTCTACATTAAAAGATGGCCTCAGTTGGTCGGAATGCAATTTGAAGATGTGCTGATTAGTTTTCCTGATGCTGTTCCATGTGGAATAAAGATGGCATCTTACGGGGGGAAGATTATTTTAAATCCTGATGATTGTTATGTCTTGCAAGAGGGCGATGAGGTGATAGTAATTGCAGAGGATGATGATACATATACCCCAGCACCGTTACCCAAGGTAAACTATTTATCTTTATAACCAAGTGCATCAACTGAATTTTGCCCATACAGAGCTAGCTTCAAATGTTCCTTTTGGGCTTACGCTTATCAGTAGCTGTAATAGTCCATGGTGTGGTTAGTGCCATCTAACGTCATAGTGTGCCTACTGTATTGAACCTTTTATGTTAATCTTGAAAATTGGATTTTGTCTGAATGTGGGCCATCGAATGCCATATTGTGCCTACTTTATTGAACCTAATGGATTAATCTAAAAAATCGGATTTTGTTTGAATGTGGGCCATTAACTTGTGTCATAGAATGTCCTCCAATATTTCAAATAAATTATTCCTATGCACCTTCTGGAAATATTTCCCTCAGAGAAGTTCTTCTATCAGGATACATGAAATTAAACACAGCTTGATTGCTTTTGCATTAAGATTTGAGAAGTATCCTTTCCCCCTTGTGTTCAGTGAGCACCAAACATCAACTGCATGATACCATTTTATGCTTTACAGATGTCATCTATGGGGCTTGTCTTCACTTTCTTAAACTATAAAAACTACTTATGTTAGCTTCCTAAGAAAGTGTAGTATTGACACTGCACATATATATAGAACATCCTGTAATGAAGTTTACAAAAGCAAAGTCAATTTTATTATTCAGGTTAAAGAAGCTGTTTACATAGACATTGTTCGCCATGAAAGAAACTCCCAGAAGATTCTTCTTTGTGGAATGCGACGGGATATAGATGATATGATTGTGGTAAGCCCTTTCTTCAAGCCCCTAATTACCTTTTTTCTGTAAACTTGTGCAGGTTAGGAGAGGCTACCCGCCTAAAGATTTTGTTGGTCCAAAGTCTCCTGAAAGAATATTATTTTGTGGTTGGCGACGTGATATGGAGGATATGATAATGGTAAATTGATTATGGATACAAACTGGCATTCTCACCCTCTTCTGGAATATTCATGTGGATGTAATGCAGTCATTTGGAGCATTTCAAGGCAAAATTTGACCGTCCTGAACATCTTGAAACTATTAAAAATATATTAGTTTTTCCTGCTTTATACCTTCCTTATGTCTAATGGTGCTCCTTAAATATGTTGTCTTGCCGTACTTTTGAATCCAATGTTTCTTACATCATACTGTCTTCTCTAACTTTTGATGCACATGGCTAACTCTAGTTGGGAAATTCTCGCATCTTCTGCATGACTCCTATATGCGATGCACTCTAATTTGGCATATATGCTGATATGGGCCACCATAACATAGGCATAAATTCTTACTTATGGTGTGCTTGGAGTCTCACATTAGTTGTCCATTTAGGCTTGACTTCTACTTTTATGCGGTATGACTACATTGATGCATGTGCGACAGCAAACTCGTGCATTTAGCAAACAGCTCATAATTTTCAAGTGTTGGTTGAACAAAATTGTACACAAAGAAGATAAAATCTGCTAAATTTATAACTTTGTCATAATAATAATATGAACATGCTGTACTGACTGTAGCTCAAAGTTGTAAGTACTGTAAGAATTGCTTATATGGCTGTAATCGATCCGACCTGTTTTTCTCCCCTTTTTGTTTGCTGGGTCTTGGCCTGTCTTAGGCTTGTAGCCTTGTACCATAAACCCTTCTTTCTATTAATGCATTGAGACACGAACTTCTGCATTTTCTCAAAAAAGAATAATAATAATTGTTTATACATCAACATATGATGCCATAATTAAACAATATACAGATATGCAACACCGGGCCTTTTGTTTGTCTCAATTGCACGCACGGTGCATTTACTTGGTGCACAGCAAGTCAACAGCATATTGTAACTTGGTTTTAGATATTCAGGTACTGGATGCTTTCCTAGCTCCAGGGTCAGAGTTGTGGATGTTCAATGATGTCCCTGAGATAGATAGAGAAAGAAAGCTAATTGAAGGAGGTCTGGACTTTAGTCGTCTTGAAAATATTACATTGGTTCATCGAGAAGGAAATGCTGTTATTCGCCGTCACTTGGAGAGCCTCCCTTTAGAGTCGTTTGATTCTGTAAGTTCTGCGAAAATAAGAATGTTTTCCTGGATAAAAGGAAGTATTGAGCTTCCTATGAGTTTGATTTCTTGTTTTTTCCATTTGACTGAGTTTCCTATGATTTCAATTGTAGATATTGATTTTGGCAGATGAATCTGTAGAAGATTCAGCAATCCAAGCTGATTCGAGGTCTCTTGCAACGTTACTGTTGATCAGAGATATTCAGGTTCTTCTAGAAATGCAAAATCATCTGGACTTTTCTTTTGACTTAAGTCATTATCACTGCAGATTATGTCGTTTTCTAATAGTGATTATCTTGGTTATGTGCTATTTTTGTTTTTGGTTATCTATTTATCTTTCCTGATGCTATAAACCTATACTATGATTCTGTACACATACTTATTACTATTCTTGCACTTGTAACTACTGCAGGCAAAACGGCTTCCATACAAGGAAGCGATTGGTTCAGATGGTTTCCGAAGAAGCTTATCAGAAGGTTCTTGGATGGGAGAGATGCAACAAGCATCTGATAAATCTGTTATAATCAGTGAGATATTGGATCCTAGGACTAAAAATTTGTTATACATGTCAAAAATAAGTGACTATGTTCTTTCAAATGAACTCGTGAGCATGGCATTGGCAATGGTCGCAGAAGATCGCCAAATAAATTATGTGTTGGAGGAGCTCTTTGCTGAACAGGTATGATTCTTGTATTATTCTCAGTTTTTTTTCCTCAATGAACGTCAAGCTTTTACCATCATCATATAACATGTTTCTTGTCAACATATATGTTAACTGATACATACATATACCTGTCTTTGTAGAGTCTTGAAGTTTTGAACCTGATGTTACTATATAGAGTACTAGGTTAACTTTACCTATAGATCATTACCTCCAGAAAAGGGAATTGTGTAAGAATACTTGACAAGTTTGCCACTGTACACATACATGTTCTCCCCAGGTTAAAGATGTTGACAGTAAGCACTCTTGTCAGGTTTAGGTATCAGTATCGCTAATACCTTGCATTTGTACTCTTCTGCAGGGGAATGAACTGCAAATACGACAATCTGACCTGTACCTTCGAGAAGACGAGGAGCTAAACTTCTTCGAGGTCATGCTACGAGCTAGGCAGAGGAAAGAGGTTGTCATCGGGTACCGTCTTGAGGACGCCGAGCGTGCCATAATCAATCCACCAGACAAAGTTTCAAGGAGAAGGTGGTCACCCAAGGATGTTTTTGTCGCTATAGCTGAGAAAGAATGAAATATCATCAGACAAAATATTACAATTAAAATACACGCCTCGCTGATAACTCGGATGAAACCGACAGTAACAGCGGACGGCTGTTGCATGGCGTGCCGCCCCATCCGAAAGATGAACAAGGGCTGAGTGTGGAGGTAGCAAAGCAGGAAGTATATACTGGGGCAAATCTAGAGTCTAGATGCACCAAGCCACCTTTGCGTATAGATTCAGTTTATAGTATATTCCTGTGTGAGAAACTTTGGGAGCATCATTTCCACAGTCCCAGGTAAAGGCCACATAGAGATGAACATTCATGTGGCATGTGGGATCTGGAGTTTTTAGGGGCTGTAGTTTAATTTGTTGTACTCTGGGTATAGACTTCAGTGTTCGTTAAACGGACCAATTGTATACCAAGTGTACATTTGAGAAAAAAAACATGTTCTATTGTCACAAATTAACAACTCCCATGTCCTTGTTCATGCATGCATGAATAGAGGAAGCTGCCGTTACACAATGAAAAGGACAGAAAGTCTGAAAAGATAAGCTTGTATCCGTCATAGCAAGAGTTCAGTGCATTATTATTTTGCTAAGTTTTTTTTATCTTTTACCTCTTTCCACCTATTTTTTTATTGTATTTTGCATCATAAAAAGTGGGGCAAAATAACTAAAAGGCATACCCCAAAGGACAGATCATCAACTATATACGGGAAAAACAAATATTAAATAGATTACAATAATGAACTTATGGATTTTTTGCCTCATTTTTGCGTTCTTTTTGTTTGCTTGTTTATGGCAACATGACTCAAAATATATGATTTTGACAACCCATGTGTTTGCCTAGTTTAACGATGGTAGAGCTAACCTTAACCTAGCCGATATCACTGCATCTCTCAAAATTTTGGCTCTAACATATAGCCTTGTTTAGAAGACTAATGAAAGTGCATCTAGTGCCCCCTTAGTGGGTTTTGATGATTAATGACAAACGATTAAGGAACTAATGACTTTTACCGAGTACACACAAATACATATATAGTCCCAAAGATATTGTTTAAACAAACTGGTTTCAACCCCTAATTATTTGAAGTTGAAGAAAGGATGGGATCTAGAAGATCAAAGGAGGTTTCTATTTCCTTTTGTGGTTTAATGAATCAAAATGTGAATAGGACAAGCCATACTATAATGATGGGAATGATAACTACGTTTCTAGAAGAATCTTGATGATTGCTTAGTCATAGCTTAGAAGAATTCCTTTGAAAATCTCCTTTGATGTTTTTGGAAAAATCTTGATGATTGCTCAATCATACCTTAGAAGACTTTTTTTTTTAAATCTCCTTTGAGACATAGACAGTGATTCTCGGTGATACCGATTTTGAGACGGTAAGTACTGAGATTGGCCTCCGTTGTAAGGGCTGAAAACTTAGCCGTCCACGGTCTCGAAGAGCTTCAATGTCATTACGACTAGTTTCCATCCCGATGTTGCTCAAAATGGCCTGTGCATCGGAGTGTTAAGAGAGCCATGCCTCTAGGGGTTGCCCTAAATGCTTGACCTATGAATCCGGCACGACCAATTTGGAAGCCATGCTCTATATTGATCTGGTTCTTTCAGTTTCATTTCAAGTCTTCCCAAGAATCTCGTTCGGACTCGTGGCTTCAAGTCATGTTCTGTATCGATATCAACTCTTTCAGTTTTGATTTCGTTCATTCCGAAATTCTTATCTTGACTTATGCATTCTGTGATATGTACGTACTTGGTTCAAATATTATTTGCAGCAAGTCATGGGTCCGCACTACCAGGATTTGGTACTGGATATGACTCTTCAAAGAAATTCATCAATCCCGGTGAGATTGTATGGAGTCTACCTTCCAAAATTAATGACCCCTAGTTGAAGAACTTCATTGTCTCTCATGTATCTTTAGTATATGCCAGTTGACTTGAATCGTAGTTCTTCCGGTATGGAATACAAAAGTATAGACGACTATATGGACGCGGAGTTTCTGCACCCGAGCTCAAATGAGCTCGGGTGAACAGTAAAATCAAAACTAAATCAAATTTTTTTAAAAAAAATCCAATTTTTTTGGGAGAAACATTGACAAAAGTTCTAAGTGCTTGCAAAAATTCGCCATGAAATCACATTTCTAGAAGGCGTGGTAAAAAAAACAAAATCAGTACTCTGAAAAAGCTACTTTCAAAAGCATTTTGGAGCACTGAATTTGTTTTTTTGCCACGCTTTACAGGAATGTGATTTCATGATGAATTTTTGCAAGCACTTAGAACTTTTGTCAATGTTTCTCCCAAAAAAAATTTGGAATTTTTTGATTTTTTTTGATTTTTTTCAATTTTACTGTTCACCGAGCTCAAATGAGCTCGGGAGCAGAAAGACACTTTCGCGACTATATCCTAAAATGAGCCTATATATAGACATTGCCCCCTAT